TACAATAAACCCCCTTACTATAATCAAACTTACCATTAGCAATTATCTTTAACATATTCACAAACAATCATAGGCAATTCCAAATCTGTCAGGTGTGAATGAGTTTTTCCTGAGTATGGGAAGGACTTTGTTTTTCAAGATGAAAAAGTAGGAAAGATGAAAGAAAAGGGGCTTGTCTCTTTCTAGAAACATAGGAATTGCCAGCCTGGATCAGACCCATGGTCTGTCTAGTCAAGTATCCTGTCTCCAGTAGTGGCCAGCACCGACTGCTTCAGAGGAAGCTGCAAGAAAGCCTTGTAGTGGGCAATTGAGGAGAAACCTGCCCACGGGTAAAATTTCTTCCTAAACCCCAATAATTAGAGTTTGGCTTATGTCCTGCAGCTAAGAATTTATATCCCTTCCAAAACTGTTGTTTTTTGCTGTTTTAATGATTAAGCTTTGTAATCGAAGTATCACAGTGAAATAAACATACAGACCTGAATTTTTTCCAATAACCACACCAGTTCATGATATATATGAAAGGATATGTGATCAGAGATCTATCAATGTAGATCATCGATCCATCGAGATAGATCTATCTAGTTATCGCCAATGAGATAGTAAATGTCAAATGACAGGAGTCCAGGAAGGGGCATTGTGAGGAGGGTTGTGCACTGGAAAGGAAGTGAACTATGGTTAGGGCAGGCTTTCCAAAAACATAGGGCCAGCCCCACGGTGGAGTTTGGGTGGGGCCTGAAACTCATATCCTACTTTTTGACTATCTTGAAAAAATGCAAATTACTGCATGAGATTTTCTGTTAGATTTCCTGTGCATCTGCCACCAGCTATCTCAGTGATTTTCTGGCATAGAGGAGACAGGGTCTCAGTCCCCCCACACCCATTCTGCACCCCGAGCTTCTTCCCTGTGAGTCCCTTTATCCCCAGCTTGTACCTCCCTCAGGTCCATTTCTCTCCCGAGTTCCCAGTTGCTCTTCAGGCTCATTCATCTCACTGAAATGTTGCAAAGTAAATGCTAGTGTGAGTTTCTATCCTTTGACCTTCTAGCATTGCATTAATTATTGCTATATGTGAACATTCTCTCTAACTCACATGAAGGTGGGGACTGAGCTCATTTGCTTCAATAAAAGTGAGGCATGGTAGCAGAAAGTTTGAGACCCACTGGGGCAGGGAGTGGATGTCAGTGAGCCACGTTACCTGGTCTTGGAGTGAGAGGCTGTCAGGGAGGAGGAATATATTGAGATTGGCAGGAGATCGAGAGGGGATGATGCAGGGGTACAGAGGACTGGGATGCATGAAAGTCTGGTGCAGGAGATTGGGAAGAGCATGAAGGGGGAGACTGGGGAATGGTGGGGACAGAGCAGGGAACATGGAGAGGGATGTAGAGCAACACGCACTTACTCATATTTAAATACTTAATACTCTGTAGATTTAAGGGCCAGATTCTCTAGTTGGCTAATATCACTTTATACCACCTAAGCAGCACAAAGTGATCGTACAGTGGCTAGAGCTGGCTTGTGGGAGAATTCAGTTTGTTCCCCAGTGCTAGATAATTTTTCCTCACTCACTTTCATGCCATCTGCTTTATAATACCCACCCAAACTGATATTTGCCCCCTAAAATTAAAAAAATATATATTTTCAAAGGTCAAGTACCAAATTCCTCCTCAAGTTTCTCGGTGAATGGGGGCTGTCCCAGCTGCAACATCTTTTAGGATAGTGCAGCAGCTCCACACCCAGTAGGTTTCATTTCCCTGTGGGCTGGTGTGGGGGAGGGTTCTGGTCCATGACTCGACATCCTCTCCACGCCCTTTGTGGTTATGTGTGTTCCCTTGGTATCCATGTAAGGAGCAATCCCTGCACTTTCCCAGGATCTGGAGCTGAAGCCTCTTTCCCACAAAGACAATGAGAAACATACAATATAATGATTTTATTAATAACTTGCATTAATGTAGAAGGAGAAAGAAGCATAAAATGATAGCATCAGAATTCACACCCCCAAAAAAATGGAAATGGAGACAGCTCAGTAAAACTGAGCATGCATCTGATGAAGTGGGTTTTAGCCCACAAAAGCTTATGCCCAAATAAATTTGTTAGTCTCTAAGGTGCCACAAGGACTCCTCGTTGTTTTTGCTGATACAGCCTAACATGACTAATACTCTGAAATAGATAACCATAACACTGACATGCATTTGGTATTAAAAAGGTGCTTTCACACTAATGCAAACTTGCAGAAAATATTTTTTCCATAAAAGGAAGTTTACTGTGAGAGTAATTTTCTGCCTTCACATTGTAGTACTGCAGATATTTACCTCACAGGGCTGTCATCAGGATGAATAACTAGTTATATACAGAGGTGTGAGGCTGCAAAGTACTATGTAAGTGCTAAGATATTGGGATCTGATCCTGCCAGCTCTTACTCATGTGAGCAGGACTTGCATGCATTAGTAGTGCCATTTGGAGCAAATGGATGGAAGTCAGGGGACCGTCTGGATGAGTAACGCTGGCTTGAATGAGTGTTTGCAGGATCAGGCCCTTAACACTTAAATAAGAGCTTGTTGAAGCATACCCATTTTCTCCTCACTCTTCCTGTGCATATCACATCATTCTCTTGAAACTGAGTTGTTTGTGGTGTACAAAATGTCATTGTACATTAAAGGGTGATATGGCATTAAATATTAGGACTCTAGATGAGTAAAAACTTTCAAATCCAAAATGAAGCCAGAACTTTATAAATTTTCCTGAATCCCAGTTGGCTGCAAAAACTCTTGTTCTTGTAAGAAGTTTTCACATTGGTTCATGAGAAGGCAAAGGATATTATGACCAAGAAAACCTCTTTCCAATGGGAAAAACAGGTTAGATGCAAGCCTGTAAAATTCAGGTCTTGCATTTTCAATCTTTTTGCATTTTCCCTTTTTTTTTTTTTTTTTTTTTTTTTTTTTGCGCAGTTAATGAAAAAATCTAGAGAGCTGTTGAGATTTCCAGCCCACAGTACTATTTTGCATCTCGCTCCCTCCTGTGCCATTGTTTGCCATTCTTTTTAGGATCAAACAAAAAAAAATTAATATACTACAACCATCAAGACTAATTTTCATTTCTCACTCTCCTGGATTTGGTTTATGTTCTTTTATCAGAGCATGGAAGTTGTTGTTTCTCTATTAAGGATATGCTTCAGAGTAGCAGCCGTGTTAGTCTATACCCGCAAAAAGAACAGGAATACTTGTGGCACCTTAGAGACTCACAAATTTATTTGAGCATAAGCTTTCATGGGCTACAGCCCACTTCATCAGATGCATAGAATGGAACATATAATAAGAAGATACATATACATACGGAGAACATAAAAAGGTGCAAGTAGCCATACCAACTGTAAGAGGCTAATTAATTAAGATGAACTATTATCAGCAGGAGAAAAAAACTTTTGTAGTGACAAATCAAGATGGCCCATATAGACAGTAGACAAGAAGGTGTGAGGATACTTAACATGGGGAAATACATTCAATATGTGTAATGACCCAGCCACTCCCAGTCTCTATTCAAACCCAAGTTAATGGTATCTAGTTTGCATATTAATTCAAGCTTAGCAGTTTCTTGTTGGAGTCTGTTTTTGAAGCTTTTCTGTTGCAAAATTGCCACCTTTAAGTCTGTTACTGAGTTACCAGAGGGGTTGAAGTGTTCCTCCTACCATTTTTTGAATGTTATGATTCCTGATGTCAGATTTGTGTCCATTTATTCTTTTGTGTGGAGACTGTCCGGTTTGGCTGATGTACATGGCAGAGGGGCATTGTGGCACATATCACACTCGTAGATGTGCAGGTGAACAAGCCCCCAATGGTGTGGCTAATGTGATTAGGTCCTATGATTGTGTCACTTGAATAACCATGTGGACAGAGTTGGCATTGGGCTTTGTTGCAAGGATAGGTTCCTGGGTTAGTGTTTTTGCTGTGCAGTATGTGGTTGCTGGAGAGTATTTGCTTCAGGTTGGAGGGCTGTCTGTAAGCGAGGACTGGCCTGTCTCCCAAGATCTGTGAGAGTGAGGGATCATTTTTCAGGATAGGTTGTAGATCTTTGATGATGTGCTGGAGAGGTTTTAGTCGGGGGCTGAAGGTGACAGCTACTGGCATTCTATTATTTTCTTTGTTTTCAGAATCAAGATCCTGTTTTGTGGATACACCTTTGCCTTGCAATTAATAGCATTTAGATTTCTAATGTCTTAATATGTGTTCAGTTACTTCCAGAGTTGCACTCAGAAAAGAGAAGGCACTCTTAAAGAAAATATTATGCTGTAAAGATATAAGAATAAATATTTTAATGCTTAAACTTCCTCTTTGAATATATAAAACTGAAGTCAATATAATTGAATGCAATAGTCAAGGGGAAAGGATTATTTTAAAGAGACAGTCACCAGCTAATAGGATACCCCTGCTTAACACAAGGTCAGTCATATCCCTTAACAGAAGTGTGCACATTTATCAAAAATCTGTTTTATGAAGATTTAACAGCTCTTCAAACCCTATAGGAAAAACAATGTAGCAGTGTAATTGTAAATAAATCTTCTCCACCTCAGATAAGAACTTGATTACATTATGAAAAAACACTAACTTATAAAATTCATGGGAAGTTTAGAACTTTTTATGATTTTTCTGCAAAGGTTTTTTTCCTGGAATTAATGTTGAATATTGAAGTAAAAAGGTGCATCGAGCCCCATGTAAATGGCAGTAATGTCCTCCCATGGTTGCCTTCCTCCTAAAGTTTTTCTTGGGGTTTTGCATATAGGTAAATGTCTCTTGAGAGAAGACAAACCTTGTTCATTGCCCTCTTCAAGCCATCTTCTGAATTATATTTCCTGAGGAAATAGTTCTTTGACCAGAGTCTAGGTTTAAAGAGCAAAATCATACTACATAGGTAGCCATGTTACAGTGGATACTTACCAAACTGTAGAATTTGAATGTTCCTGGGGGATTTGTAATATTCTCTATGTGAAAAATGAGAAATACTACAATGTCACAAAAAAGTTTTATTACTGTGATTGGTAACTGTCCAGGTCTTATTGTCATCGTATTAAGAGTTTTGTTTAATTGCACAATCTTTTAAGTAAAAAGGAGGATGAAACTTTTACTGGCTACATTTCTAATGCATTTTACAAACCAATGGAGATATCATGCTCTGCAGTGGATGGGGTGTATGTGGAGCTAACCCGTTCTAATTTATCACCATGAAGAGCTGGACAGTGTTTGCAGAGGTAGATTGCAATGTATTTTCGGAAAAAGGTATAAAGATATTTCCTAAACTTTTCACCAACAAAAGCATAGATCACGGGGTTGATACAACAGTGGATCATTGCAACTGCTTCTGTCACTTGGATTGCTAGCTCCAGCTGACTGCTGCTGTCACAGTTATTTAGGAAAAATGAATCTTGAAAAGTGTACATGAGAACAACAATGTTGAATGGTGTCCAGAAGAGAAAATAAACAATCATTATGATAAAAATAAGCCTGACTGCCTTATGTTTTTTCTCATTCCTACATCTCAGTAATGTCTTTATAATCTCTGCATAGCAGAAGATCATAATGACCAGTGGAATGACAAGTCCCAGGATGTTCATCTTTAAAATCAGGAATTGCTTCCATTTGATTTCATAACCTAATGGATAATGAGGGCTACAGGTCCAGTGAGGACCTTCCTTTTGAACACTGTGAAATATAAACCCTGGAAGAGAGGCTAATATTGCAACAACCCAAATGAAAACACTTGTGAAGATGCCATGGGCAATTGTCCTGGCTTTCAAAGCAAACACTGCATGCACAATTGCCAGATATCTATCTATTGTCAAAAGTATTATGAAAAAGATCCCGCTGTAGAAGCCAGCATAATAGACCCCTGAAAGAATTTTACACATTGCATTTCCAAAATCCCACTCACGTGCTGCATAATAAGCCCAAAATGGTAAGGAAAGAATAAAGAGTAAATCGGAAATTGCCAGATTCAGCAGATAGATGTCAGTCATGCTTCTCAGCCTCTTGTATTTTATCAGGATCAGCACAACTAGCGCATTGCCCACCAGGCCAAATATCAGCACCAAGGAGTACAGCGGGGGCAGAAACTGGGATGCAAATTTTTTGACATCAGCTTTTTGGCATGGTTCTGACTCAGGATCGTAGTAGTAGGTTGTCGTGTCAGCTTCTTCAGTCATCTTGTGCTGTCCTGCATAAAGAAAAAAGGGTTAAAATGAAAGATGGACTAAAAGTTAGACAAATATTAGAATTTTACCACAAATATTATTGGGAAGCTGGCAGTGACTTCCATATTTAAGTTGCCTAATGCTTTCCAGTATAAAAGATAATTGTAACCCTTTTTTTGAGATGCTCTGATACCTCCACTATTTATTAAATATTGGTTTCCACATGCACTATGTATGAGAAATATTTGTCATCTTCAGTGAAGTATGTCAGCACCAGGACACAACTGAGAGCTGGCTGATGACTAATCGCAAAGGCAGCTAGTTCTCAGCTGGTTTGTTAGAAGTGTGTTTAAGTGGTTTTCAGAAGTGTCAGAATGAGACAAAAAAGAGCACTGTTAAAAAGGAGCCTAATTAGAGGAAACACTGTTTTTCAGGTTTCCTACCCACATTCATATGTCACTAGCCCACACCACAGCAATAAGCCATGAGTGGTTGTGCATTGGTAGACTGTGGGTGGACAGCATCTAAGTAGCATTTCACAAGCAAAATTTGCCAAACACATTAGTTGTTACAAATTATTCTTTCAACAAGTTTGCTCATTTCTCACATTAACTGACCTCTCTGTGCTTCTGTATTTGGTTTAGTTTGGTTCTGAAAAAAGACATTACTCATTACAGTATATATAGAAAGAGAAACCTGAACAACCCTAATTTTTGGACATCTACATAAAACTAAAAAACTGCTAAAAATAAACCCTTGAAAACAGAAGCCATAAGGCTAAATGAGAATGAGGCCCATATTCTTTATTTAACAAAATTGTTCCTTTGGCCTTATTCTCATTTACACCCAGGCCATTTTAAACTGCTCTAGTCATGCATAGGAGCCTTGAAGGAACTGAATATGAATATAAATTATTTTTACTTTAAGGCCCTTTTACACTGTCAGAGCAAGGTAATGTGGTCTTAGTGTGAATGAGAATCAGGCTCTCTTGTTCTGGTCATGATAATATCCTTGTGTACAAGAAATAGGTGACTTACCTGTTAATTAGGAAAATGTGGAAGAGGTGATTAAACAATCCTGCACTAGAGTTGACTTTGTAGGATGAAATGGCAAATTTCACCTCTCTTGCAATTCAGATCAAGTCCAAGCAATGAAAAATGTAGACTTTGAATGAAAGCAGAGTACTGTTCTCTACCATCCAAGAAATATTCAGCACGTTATTCTCAAGTTGATAACCTGTAAGAAAATTCACAAATCTATCAACTGATATTGAAACACCACCCTGAATGACATCAAATAATTTCAAAACCATTGTCTTTGTTGGGCTATATTCTCATACTGTAAAACTTGTAAAAAAAAAAAAAAAGATGCTCTCCAGTGTCTATTTTGAATGTATCTGCAGTTGGCATTAATTATCTTGTTCTAATTACTGGATTCTGCCAAAATGTAATATTGGGTTAACATGATTCACTTGATTCAAGATTTTTTTCCTCTTATTGCAATGGCCTTTTGCCTGAACTGTAAAGTGGTATATCCTTAGCATCAGAAATGCCTATTGTCTAGAGTTTGAAAGTTGGTTGGAATCAATGATTTAATAGATCTTTTCCATCAATAACAGTCAAAATGAGGCAGACTATTAGTAGCTGTTTGCAAATTATCTGTGAACAAATTTTGCTATTTATAAATATTAGTTATTCAAAGGTTTTGTACAAACAAATTATTTCAGCCTATGGGTTTCTCATTAATTATTCCCTATGACTGTAGCTTTGAATATTCATGACTGCATTTATAATTCACTATTTGTGCTGTGCAATTGATCACCCAGTTCACAGGGCATTGTTTCTTCTTTCTGATTGGATGACTGCAACTCTTATAAAGAGTAGGGCTTGACTAAGTCCTCTCTAGCGTGTATTGTTGTGTGGACATATATGCCCAAGTTTCTGCAAACATTCTTGCTAAACAAAACAAATAATTAATATAAATGTTTGCAGAAAACAAATTAAAAGGTTGCAAATACTGAGTCTTCTTGCAGGATTCTCTGCACCTTGAAGTCTTTAAACCATGATTTGAGGACTTCAATAGCTCAGACATAGGTGAGATGTTTATTGCAGGAGTGGGTGGGTGAGATTCTGTGGTCTGTGTTGTGCAGGAGGTCAGACTAGATCATCATAATGGTCCCTTCTGACCTTAAAGTCTATGAATCTATGACTGAGCAAAGGCTACACACATTCTTGCCTTATAGCAGCACTCTTGGAAACTGTAGTGTTTTGAATGACTATAATATATTTGAAAAAAGGACAGAAATTTTGGGTGTGATGTTTGCCACTTCATCTGCAATGACAGTTGCAGTGGAGGAGAAAAGCACAGAGAGTCCTTGGTGGTGATAGTTATTACTGCACAGATCTTTTGTTTTTTCCACATAGGCTGGAATTCAGCTTTGTGGCTGTACAATGTTTCAGGAGGTATTTTGCTGGACAGTTCCCCAGTGACGTTCTATGGCACCATCTGTATGCATCAAGGGGACACTATTCCTTCTAGTGCTAAATCCATGTCCTCTCACTGATGGTTAAACATTGTACAGCCTCTGGTTTGCTTGGCCTGTTTAACCAAAAAATTTACTTACAGATACATTCTATGTGAAAAGATCATTAAATTGCAAAGTCTTAACCTGAAAAGTTAAGAGATGCCAGAATAGTAGTATATGACTCGATAGTATTCAACACCATGTATTTGTTGACAGGTTTCCATGCTCCATTTAGGGCTTATGTCCCACCCTTGATCTCTGTTTCCGGTGGTGTCAAGGTTTGGCGCTGTCAGCCATTTTGAAAAAATATTTTTGATTATTTTTTAATGTTTGAATAGGGGGAGTGTGTTTGTGCTTTGATAATTTGGTTGCTTGTTTAGAGAAAAAAGGTTCAAAGAATAGAGTGAGAGCTTAAAGATTAAAAAAGAAAGCTTTGGTAAGGTTTAGAGGAAAAAAGGAAAGAACCTTTGGTGTGGTTGAGTAAGGAGAGATGATTTTAAAGGCCTAGTTTGGCATGTTATTAAAGAATAGAAAGAACTTAAAGAAAAATAAAGATTTTTGTTTTTAAAGGAGGAGTTTGAAAGAATAGAGGCAAGTTATTAAAGAGAAGAGAGATTTTTAGTGAGGTTTAGTAAGGAGAGGTGTTTTGAAAGGACTAGTTTGATATATTATTCAAGAATAAAATTGAGATAATGGAAAAAGGTGCATTAAATATAAGGGTAGGTTAAGAAAAGAGCATTTAAAAAGAGTTAAATAAAAGAGAAACAAAGGAAACGGTTTATTAAAACATGGTAAAATATGAAGGTTGGTTAAGAAAAACATTTAAAACATTAAATAGGGTAGGTTAATAAAAGAGCATTTAAAACATTAAATATTGAAAAATAGGTTAAAAAGAACAGGCATGGCAAAAAAGGGAATGTACTAAAGCAGAGACTGTTTAGTAAGCACATGGTAAAAAAATATAAAGGCAGGTTAATAGAAAAGTATTTGAACTATTAAATACAAGGATAGGTTAAGAAAAGAACATTTAAAGAGTTAAATAAAAGAGAAACAAATATAGGTTAAAAGAGAGAACAGGGCAAGAAAAGGGAAAAGAAAGCTTCTTTGCAAAGGGCAAAGATAGACAGCACATGACTGAGTTAGAGAGATCTTACCCTTCCAAATGTTTCTGCAGAAAGAGGCAACTTCCAAAGGTGGTGATAACAAGCCTGAAGAGCTGTGAACCTGGGATCGGCCCAATCAGATGTTGCTCTACAGCAGCGTCATAGAATTCATTTTCCTGAACCAATCCTATAGTCCCAAGGTTTTTAAACAAGAGCCATCTCACCCGCCCCACCCCTTTAACTGCCTTATTCTTATCTAAAAGAACAGACCCCAAGCATTTTTCCTTGCAATGTAGCCCTTTTATATAGTGGCTTTAATATAAGTTAAAGCCATAAGCCCTTAGTAACAAACAATTTTTAAAAGTTTTCCCCTATGTTTTAGACTAAGATTGGTTATTTTTTAGTGAGGACAATTTGAAGCTGCAGCAAAACCCCTGTTAGCAAAAACAGCATCTGAGAGTCAGTGGATCAGAGATAAGAAGACTGCTTCTTCCCCAAACTTTTTAACAAATGCAAGTAAAAGCTATATTAAGTCTTGTAAAGGGATAAACACTTTAAAAGACAAACCTATATGAAGACACATCCCTTTATTTACAGGTGTGTTTCAATAAACTAGAGTATGCAGACACACCCCAGGTTTAAAACCACAGGTCCTTAGTGACAGTCAGTTTATATTCCCCCTATTTTGTAAGCCAATGATGTGACGGGTTGGGTCACAGAAACCCCCTTGGGACTGCCACCTGATGTGCTGAGACTACCTCTAAGCCAGTTTTCCCTGGCAGCTTGAGACTTCAGTACCCTGCCTGGTTGTGCCAGACACACTAGCCTGCTACAAACACAGACCCAGGTCTGAACCACATCCCCCAAAAGCTGCAGGCTTAACTTAAAACAGCTTAAGAAGTGTTCCTGTCTCCAACACCCAGATACCCAGTTCCCAATGGGATCCAAACCCCAAATAAATCTGCTTTACTCTGTATAAAGCTCACACAGGCTAAACTCAAATTGTTCACCCTCTATAACACTGATAGAGAGATATGTACAGCTGTTTGCTCCCCCAGGTATTAATACTTGCTCTGGGTTAATTAATTAAGTAAAAAGTGATTATTAAATATAAAAAGTAGGATTTAAGTGGTTCCAAGTAATAACAGGCAGAATGAAGTAAGTTACCAAGCAAAATAAAATGAAATATGCAAGTCTAAGCCTAATACAGTAGGAAACGAAATGCAGGTAAATCTCACCCTCAGAGAGGTTCCAATAAGCTTTAACAGACTAGACTTCCTCCTAGTCTGGGTCCAGCAATCACTCACACCCCCATAGTTACTGTCCTTTGTTCCAGTTTCTTTCAGTCATCTCTTTGGGGTGGAGAGGCTATCTTCTGAGCTAGCTGGAGACAAAATGGAGGTGTTTCCCAGGGCCTTATATAGTCTCTTGTGGGTGGAAACCTCTTTGTGACATTCCCCTCTGGTGTTATCTGGACCTGTGAGCTGCTAGGTCTCTCCAATCCTTGACTCAGGGAGCCAGCCTTACTGTGCTCTGCTGTGAGAACCCCCTCTCCTGGGCTGTTCATGCACAGCCTCTGGCATGTAAGCGGCTCCCAGCTACTTGCAAGCGCATGACACTAGCCAATATCTCCAGTCCCAGCCACAACCCTAGGAACCTCCATCTTGCAGTGTCCAGTTATGCCCACTGGATGCTGCAAGCTTATATGAGTTTGTCAAACTAACAAAGAAATTGATATGTACCAGGCTTGTTATCCCAAGGGGAGTTTCTGACACACTGCAAACCAAATGCACTTCAGGTAGAACAAACAGATTTAAATCTACCTTTATAGTTAATAAGTGATTATTAAATCAAAGCATAACAAGTCAGATTTGGTAAAACGAAATAAATCTGCCTTATGTGCTTCCTACAGCAAACACTTTAAATACAAGCATGAACCAACTCTCATAACTTCAGATATAAAAATTATACATGCATGTGAATAGGATGAATACATTCAGAGGAACATATCTTTGCAAAGGTTATGTTACATGACATATCTAGCATAAAACATATTCCAGTTATTTACACTCATATTTACACTCAGAAGCACATTTCTATAAAGCATTATGGGGTGCAACATCACAGTGGATCAGAGAGCAGAAGTTTGTTTCTTCCCCCACTTTCTAACAAATAGAGGTGAAAGTTATATTAAATCTTGTAAAGGAATAAACACTTTAAAACAGTGGTTCTCAAAGCCAGTCTGCAGCTTGTTCAGGGGAAAGCCCCTGGCGCGCCGGACCGGTTTGTTTACCTGCTGCATCCGCAGGTTTGGCCAATTGCGGTTCCCACTGGCTGCGGTTTGCCGCTCCAGACCAATGGGGGCTGCAGGAAGGGCGGCCAGCACGTCCCTTGGCCCGCGCCACTTCCTACAGCCCCCATTGGCCTGGAGCGGAGAACCACAGCCAGTGGGAGCCACGATTGGCCAAACCTGCAGATGCAGCAGGTAAACAAACCGGTCCGGCGCGCCAGGGGCTTTCCCTGAAAAAGCGGTGGACCGGCTTTGAGAACCACTGCTTTAAAAGACAAGCCTATATGAAGACACATCCCTTCATTTAGCACTTTTGCATATGTTTCAATAAAAAGTGAGCATGCAGGAACGTTCCAGGGTTAAAAACACAGAGAACCTGTTTATAAAAGTAAATTATAGTGATAAAAAAAGTTTCCCCCTATGTTTTAGGCTAACATTGGTCATTTTTTAGTAAGGACAATTTGAAGCGGTGTGCTTTTTCAGCAAAAACAGCCTTTGTGAGACAGTGGATCAGAGCGAAGAAGCTTGCTTGTTCCCCCACTTTTTAACAAATAGAGGAGAAAGTTATATTAAGTCTTGTAAAGGAATAAACACTTTAAAAGACAAGCCTACACAAAGACACATCTCTTCATTTAACACTTTTACAGGTGTGTTTCAATAAAATAGAGCATGCAGAAACACACCAGGTTTAAAACCACAGGTCCTTATATTCCTCTTATTCTGTAAACCAGTGTACATCTAGGGTTACAGTTTGCACAAAAAAGTGTTTTATAAAAAACAAAAATATATTATCTCGGGGCTTAGACAAGATAATGATCAACAAAATTGAAACTGTTGCTTTGCAGGCATTGCTACAAAATATCTTTAAGTTTGTTTTTGTTAATATTTCCGAGAGGCCATAGGATGGGGGAAGATAATACCTCATAAAGTGGGAAAGTGCTTCCAAATGACAAACGCTTGCCCGAGCTAAAGCATAACAACTAACACAGAATGGCTGTCTACAAAACTGTTCCACTGAAAGAGTTATCAACATTCCCCCTAAAACTCAGAACAGCTTTCTTACCCTCCATGGCCTGATCTCCGTGGCTGTGGCTTTTTTTAAAATGTGTTTGTCCTCAGTTTAGATTTTAGAAAGCATTTTAAAAAAAAAAAAAAAAGGGGGCAGGGTGTGTAGAAAAGTGTGTGTGTGGGCGGGGGAGGAAGACGCCTTATCTCTGGTAGAAAACAGCTAACTTTTTACATAAGCTAATTTTTTCTTGCGTTTTTTGTATAAATCCAAACTTTAAAAAGCAATCGTTTATTTTTTTGTTATTTTTGTGTTTTGTTTTTTTTTTATTAAAACACATGTGTAAACTCCCCTCAATTGTCAGTTTTCATATTCTTACCCAGTTGCTGTTTCGGTACTTTAAAAACACTATTTTTAAAAGGGTAGGCTAGTATCTTAAGCCTTTTTAGTTCACTAAACTTCTACCAAATATCAGCTCTGTCAATACTGCTTTTTCATGTTAAACTTTTAAACACACAAACATAATGCTTCAAATAGGCCTCGCTGCATACAGAATATCCTTAAAAAAGGTCATGTCATGTTACATCTCAGTCAGTGCTGTATTTTCATGTTAAAAAACCCTTTATATAATGAAACACTACACGTTTAGCAAGTATTACAAGTATGGGGGAAAGTTGAGGGGTGGGAGTGTTCTTCAAATAGGCTATCTCTGAGCTTTATGATGGTGATGGTTTGTCTTTTACAATCAGTAACTGGAATAAAATACTTGTTATAACTTTCACAAAGTATTTGTTAAAACTTTAACAGTGTTTAAAAAGTTAGGAAAGAAGTCTGTGTAAAAAAACAAGCAAACTAAAGTGGTAACCGCTGGAGCCTTGCTAAGGCAGACTATGGTGCATGGATCACTGGCTCGCCTAATTAGTCTTATCTGTTTATAAAATGTAGAGAAAGCCACAGCTCCAGCCTGTGCTGTATTTAATAAAATCTATGGGACCCAAAACAAACACAGGAGCTTGTACCTGTGTATCAGCACACAGGTTGCAAACATTTAAAACCAAAAAATTCATACTTAAATCTAAAAGTGCTAAGAAAATGAAAGCTTAATATAACTTTAGCATGGATTTGTTAAAAAGTGGGGAGGAAAATAAACTTCTCTCTGATCCACTGGATTACAGAATGTCCAGCAAAAGGGTGGGGCTTGGATACACTTAATGAAGCCACACCAGGTGCATAAGTATAACCAGTTTTATTGCCAAAGTATAATAAGCTTCCCAGCCTTTACATGTTACTAAATACGTGCTAAGCAATCAAAAAAAAAAAAAAAAAAAAAAAGCAAGAATCAGTGCTTACACCCCTTCTGCTACAGACAGTCCCAGACCCTCCAGCCTTGTCCTTGAGGGCTTGTAGCAGGTGCTGCTCTAGCGTGGGGAATTTCTGGGCACCCACAAGGCCAGGGTACTCAGATGAGACAGTTCATTTAAAGCAATTTGCATAGGTGATTTTTATTTTTTGGGGGGGAGGGAGGCTGTACATCCACAAGCAGGCTCTGGCAGGAAACGCTACTATTTTTTAATTTTTATACTTTTTTTTATTTTTTGTTTGTTTATTTAGTTGAGTGGTTACAAGCCAGCCTGGCAGGTCAAAGCCAGTTCATTACTAGCTCCCCCTGTAACAACAGACCAAGGTAACTTGCGATCAGCCTCAACACAGAATAAGGGGAATATAAACTAGCTGTTACTAAGGTTCTGTGTTTTTCACTCTGGGTGTTTTCCGCATGCTCATTTTTTTTTTAAATTGAAACACACATGTAAAAATCTTAAATAAAGGGTCTTGTCTTCATATAGGCTTGTCTTTTAAAGTGTTTATTCCTTTACAAAACTTATTACTTTCACTTGTATAAATTAAAAAGCAGGTGAAGAAGCAGCCTTCTTATCTGTGATCCACTGGCTTACAGAGGCTGTTTTTGCTGACAGCGGCTTTGCTGCAAAAGCATGCTGCTTCAAATTGTCCTTACTAAAAAATGACCAGTGCTTGTCTAAAACATGGGGGAAAACTTTTTTTTATCACTATACATTACTTTTATAAACAGGCTTTCTGTGTTTTTAAACGCTGGGTTGTTTCTGCATGCTCACTTTTTATTGAAACACATATGCAAAAAAGAGCTAAATGAAAAATTGTTTCTTCAGATAGACTTGATTTTCAAAGTGGTCTTCTTTTCTAATCCACTACTTAAAAAGGCTGCTTCAAATTGTTCTCAATAAAAACATAGGGAAAAGCTTTAAAAACTTTTTCTTAGTAAGAGTTTGAGAGTTTAGGCCTGGGGTGCTTCTGCATGCTCTTTTGTTATTGAAACATATGCAAAAGTGCTAAATGAAGGGATGTGTCTTTGTATAGGCTTGTCTTTTGAAGTGTTTATTGCTTTACAAGCCTTTCACCTCTATTTGTTAAAAACTTAAATTACTTTTATAAACTAACTGGCTGTGGTTTTAACCCTGAGGTAATTTCTTTTTTAATTTTACATTGTTTATAAGATTAGTTACAAAGCAATGTCTTCTTCACATAAAAAAAGGAAATGTTTATTTCAACAAGTATTTGGTATAATTTTGTTTTAAAAGCAAGCCTAGGGCTTTCTTGTTATGTTCTGGCCTTCTTATCTCTGATCCACTGACTCACAGATGCTGTTTTTGCTAACTGTGGCTTTGCTGAAAAAGCATGCTGCTTCAAATTGTTCTCACTAAAAAATGACCAGTGCTAGTTTAAAACTTAGGGGGAACATATTTTATCACTATACATTACCTTTATAAACAGGTTCTCTGTGTTTTTAAACCTGGAATGTTTCTGCATGCTCATTTTTTATTGAAACTCATATGCAAAAGTGCTAAATAGAGAAATACATCTTCAGATAGGTTTGTCTTGTAAAGTGTTTATCCTTTTACAAGACTTAATATAATTTTTACTTGCATTTGTTAAAAAGTTTGGGGAAGAAGCAGCCTTCTTATCTCTGATCCACTGACTCTCAGATGCTGTTTTTGCTAACAGGGGTTTTGCTGCAGCTTCAAATTGTCCTCACTAAAAAATAACCAATCTTAGTCTAAAACATAGGGGAAAACTTTTAAAAATTGTTTGTTACTAAGGGCTTATGGCTTTAACTTTTATTAAAGCCACTATGTAAAAGGGCTACATTGCGGGGGGAAATTCTTGGGGGTCTGTTTTTTTAGACAAGAATAAGGCAGTTAAAGGGGTGGGGTGGGTGAGATGGCTCTTGTTTAAAAACCTTGGAACGATAGGATTGGTTCAGGAAAATGAATTCTATGACGCTGCTGTAGAGCAACATCTGATTGGGCCGATCCAAAGGTGGCGATAACAAGCCTGAGAGGCTGTGAACCTGGAAAGTTGCCTCTTTCTGCAGAAACATTTGGAAGCGTAAGATCTCTCTCTCTAACTCAACCATGTGCTGGCTATCTGCAAAGGAGCTTTCTTTTTCCCTTTTCTTGCCCTGTTCTCTCTTTTAACCTTTTTTTTAAATGCTCTTTTCTTAAACTATTAAGTACAAGGATAGGTTAACTGCTTTTCTATTAGCCTGCCTTTATATTTTTTACCATGTGCTTACTAAACAGGTTCTGCTTTAGTAAATGCCCTTTTTTGCCATGTGTGCTTTTTAAACATTTGTAAATGCTTTTTTCTTAACCTAACCTACTCTTATATTTAACATTTTAAATGTTTCTTTCTTAACCAACTTTATATTTTTACCATGTGCTTACTAAACAGTTTCCTTTATATGTTTCTCTTATTTAACTCTTTTTAAATGCTCTTTTGTTAACCTACTCTTATATTTAATACACCTTTTCCATTTATCTCAAAATTTTTATTCTTTAACATACCAAACTAGTCCTTTCAAAACACCTCTCCTTACTAAACCTCACTAAAAATCTTCTCTTTAATAACTTGCCTCTATTCTTTCAAACTCACCCTTTAAAAAACAAACAAAAATCTTTATTTTTCTTTAAGTCCTCTTTCCATTCTTTAACAAACTAGGCCTTTAAAAATCATCTCTCCTTACTCAACCCTCACCAAAGGGTCTTTCCTTTTTTTTCCTTCTACACCTTACCAAAGCTTTCTCTTTTAAATCTTTAAGCTCTCACTCTATTCTTTCAACCTTTTTCTCTAAACAAGCAACCAAATGTATCAAAGCACAAGCATGCAACACTCCCCCATTCAAACATAAAAAAATCAAAAATATTTTTTTGAAAATGGCTGACAGCGCCAAACCTCGATACCAACGGAAATGGGGCATGGAAACCTGTCAAAATATACATGGTGATGAACACTATTGAGCCGTATGCGACTCAGAATGAACATTGCCTGTTAGTTAACACACCCAGTCGTAAAGTGGCTCACAGAACTCAGAGTCTGTAAATCCTAAGTAAATTGCCAAGGCAGAGATCCAAGGTATTTAGACTCCTAACTTCCCCTGAAATCAATTAAAGGCAGGAGTCTAAATAAGTTTTTGCATCTGGGTCTAAGTCCCTGAGAAAGGAGTGAATAATTGTGAATATGGGACATTAACACCCTTGAGGACCAGGGGTACTCCAGGAAGGGCTACATTAGGAAATGTTAGAACCAAGGTTGCCTGTACAATCTTAATTCAGCCCCTTTGTGCATATGCATTATATTCTCTTTAATTAGTTGATCACATACTATTTTTTCCACAGGACGACATCTCATTCAGTGCACGGTATGGACTGTGCTCACACTGAGTTGGTAGCTATTCAATATTTCGTTTTGTACTTATTTAGTATGTGGCCCCATGTTTTTTATTTTAGTATGTATCCCCATGTGTGCTATCCAAGCCCTGCACACATAATTAATCATTTCCTCATACTTTTTATAGTGTTCATGTAACTAGCTAATCTGAGTGTTTCACAAACATTGATAAATTTATCTTCATAACACCCCTTTGAAGTAATGGGGTGATATTATCCTCACTTTAGAGGAAAGGAACTGAGGCACAGAAAGATTAAGGTAAAAAATGTCCACTAATTTTGTGTGCCCAATTTGAGATCTCCATGGCTGATGCTAAGGGTAGCATAAAATCCTTCCTTTACCT